TTACAATAATCTCTACTATTCTTATAAACATTGATTTTGGTGTCAGAATTGTTGAGGTATTTGTAAAACACGAAACATAAGAAATAAGTATTTTCTCAAAGATTTATATTAAAGATGTTTAGAGAGAAGTACACAATATATTAGTGTATTGTTTGTGTAAAAAACAGTTAAGTAAACAAATTGTAGAAAACATTACATAATTTGCTGTTATATAAAAAAGATTTTATGCATTTAATATATTATACTAATACGTTGTAAGTGTTCATAAATTCAAATGAAAATGTTAGCCAAAAATTGTTTGTTTTATTATTAGATTCTCTTTAATAATTGATATTAAATTCATCCGCACTGTTAGGTTGTGTGAAATGAAGGCAAACACACATTTCGTATTGCATGCGCTTATCAAAGAATTGTATATTAATAGTATAGTAGTATTAAAAAAACTTTGTATATTATTTATATACTAATTGATTTTGTTATTATAAAAGTTGTAAATTATTAACAAATTGTCGCAATTAAGTAAACAAGTCGGGTTTAGAAAGTGATTGAGTTGTCAATCATCTGACAGCAAACAATTCCTTTGATTGGATTCGCTTTCTATTAATTAGTTTATCATTTGCGGAGACATTGGTTTCATTAATACTTTTCTCTCCACTACTGCTAATAGATTGAAGTCTATTAGTTGTGGCAAATATTGTATCTGATTTTGAAGGCTTATAGTGTCTTATGTGTCGCTTCGGCATTGACTTAGTGTCGCGCATACCTATAGGCATACCTATGCCTATACCTAAACCAACTCCTCTGCCGTTTATCACATTTGTGTACCCATTCTGTGCACCACTGGTGAAGCCAATGGAGGGGTCGCCAGAACAGGCGTATTCCTGTATACGATAATTATTGTTGGGATACAATCTGCTATTTGTGAACGATTTGTCTGTAAGTGATGGCTGTCCATAAATACTAGAGGGACGGGTAGACTGTTGTATCATTCTCTCCATTGTCTGTTTAGTTGATGCGGATTGCGATCGATTGACACTATTCTGAAAGTGATTTCCAGTCTTTTGTAGATCCGATTGTGGATCCGATTTGTGGTGTTGTTGTGGTTCGAGACAACTCTGCGACCGAACATATTGTGGTCTCTTTTGGTTCACTCCATTCGACACACGATTATTGTGGGGAAGAGTGAGCGGAGAGTCGGGTCTAATGAATGAGAACTCAGAGGTGGCCGTCTTTAGGGCTGATTTGGCCATTTGGTGATGTCTTGAGTCAGTTGTGTTCACTCCTATGATCTCCGGAGACGAGAGGATGTGTTGCGCATAGAGTGAGCGCTGGGCTAATGCTGGGGACACTTGCAGTGACCGAGGACTCGGTCTATTGAACTGATGGCTCACTAACTGTCCGGTCGTTCGTCCCAACGATACCAATGACTGCAACGAACTATTCTGTGAAGAGTTGCCGATTTGGTTGGCGTTCACGTGACTGTTGTTTCCGCCGCATTGAGGGGCCAGTCGTGGAAGACCCGCCCGATTGG